ATGTTGCCTTCCAATCTTCTTGGTTTCAGCCAAACTGATTGGAAGACACTCAAATATGAAAAGCAATGTAATTGGGAGCAGTTGTTCATATATATTTTGATCCAAACTTCTGCGAGATCAAAGATAATCTTTCCATTGACTTGCATGGGCTTTCGATCAAGCCCATATATTGCAGAGCTTTTAGGAAACATACTTGGAAGGGAATTTGACTGATTACATTATATCTTTGACATTTACCAGAGAAAGTGTAATATTTGTATGGACTGAAATTTGAATTTTAACAAACTGCAACAACACTTTACTTTGGTGTGTGTGTGTGGGAATAACTTTTCTTGTACACTAACTGAGAAAATAGCCACCAAGTGCTCTTTTAAAGTTTCATATAAATGCTTTCTGGGGTGGTTATGCTGCCACCGTGAAGGAGACACACCAGATACATGTATGTGGGCACAACATTTCATAATAATCAGTTTGTGTAAAGCCTTATCTGGATACCTGGGGTATAATCAGCTCTTACTACATGCATGAAGCAACCATTAGCGCTCCTGGGAATCATGCTCAGACATCCATGACAGATTCTATTGTTTATAGTTTCATTTACATATCTAGTTATGGGGTTGATGAGATCATTTTAATTTTTAAATCACAGATTTAAAAGTAGGAATGACATTGCAAATTCTTAATACAACCAGGTTTCAGAGTAGCAGCTGTGTTAGTCTGTATCCACAAAAAGAAAAGGAGTACTTATGGCACCTTAGAGACTGACATTTATTTGAGCATAAGCTTTCGTGAGCTACAGCTCACTTCATTGGATGCATCCGATGAAGTGAGCTGTAGCTCACGAAAGCTTATGCTCAAATAAATTTGTTAGTCTCTAAGGTGCCACAAGTACTCCTTTTTTCTTTTTGTTAATACAACCAGTTACACTTCTGATAATCGGTATCTGAGGATTACCTGTTCTGTTCATTCCCTCTGGGGCACCTGGCATTGGCCACTGTCAGAAGACAGGATACTGGGCTAGATGGAGTATGTTCTATGTTTAGAAGGTTGGGGTTATGAATGTAGAATGGTAACATAGGGTCTCCTCACACAGACTATTAAGGAGATGAAAGTAATTATTTCTCGATATTCATTAAGGTATTGAATACGTATGACCTCAATGCCACACAATATTTATATTCTCCCTATGGGTAATTTTCAAGTACATGTAAATGTTCTTTGGTGGACACTGTCCAATTTCCTTAATTTACAAGGATAAACTAATTACTAGACCCTCATCCATTTCTACACTGTATAACTTATTCAAACTGCATATAACAACACAACAGAGTAAACCCACTAACCACATATTTCACCATCACTAGGTTTCTTTTAATTCACAAAAAATAGATAAAATGTGGTGCCCTTCATACGGAGTTCTAAACAAAACCAAACACAAGAGTCAAAATGAGCCCAAGCCTATTTTTAGAGTACACTGACTCACCTTTTTACCAAAGCTTTCCACAATAACTAAAGATAGTAATTAAGTATACACATTAACTAAAGACACTTGCTCTGATCTACAGGGTCTGAACACCCACAACTTGTGCTGATGTCAATGCAAGTCACTGAGTGTTAGGTAACTGCTCTACAGCTATGCCTCTGTAGCGCCATTGTATAGACACTTGTGAGAGCGATGGAAGGGGTTTTTCTGTTGCTGTACTTAATCCACCACTCCAAGAGGCAGCAGCTAGGTTGACAGAATTTTTCCACTGACCTAGCAGTGTCTATGCTGGGGCTTAGGTCACCTTAACTACATCTCTGAGTGGTGTGAATTCTTCACACCCCTGAGCAACACACCTAGGTTGACCTAAGTTTTAGGTGTAGATCATACCTTATGCCCATTTAAAAGTCCCCGCCCAGACCAAGTAAATTGAGGTAGCTGAATTTAAGAGAGGTTAAGAGCAGATTCCAATATGGTCAACCCATCTGAATGTTAGGTGCTGTATTTGTTTGTTACAGATAGCATAAACTGAAGAGAGAAGTGTATAAAGTAAAATACAAATATTTCTTTAAAATGGACAGAGTTTAATAAAGATATTATACAATTAATAAGTTCCAGTCACTATATAATAATCTAGGTCATATACTGCAATGGCTAACAAGACGTTTGTGGCAGTTAAAAGCATTTGGCTTCACCTGTTGATTCTCAAGACATCCAAGCAATGCCAATGTCCACTGTAAACCAACAAAATACTGCTTGGTATGTTCTATAGGTATGTCTTCACTACCCGCCGGATCGGTGGGCAGCAATCGATCCAACGGGGATCGATTTATTGCGTCTACTCTAGACACGATAAATCAACCCCTGAGCGCTCTCCCATTGACTCCTGTTCTCCAGTGCTGCGAGAGCTGCAGGCAGAGTCGAAGGGGGAGCAGCAGCAGTCGACTCACCGCCGTGGAGACACCACAGTAAGTCGATCTAAGTATGTCAACTTCAGCTACGTTATTCACGTAGCTGAAGTTGCGTAACTTAGATCAATCCCCCTCCCAGTGTAATTATCTTTTAGTATTGCCAACCCCAACCATTCAAAAATCATGAGAAGACCCCTCAAAATCACATGATTTTAAAAAATTGGGGGTCTTTTATTTGCCTACTGTTTGAGCCTTTAGGTTAAGGTTAGGTGTTCCAGCTTGTATCCACAACCCCACAGGCTAGAAACATATTTAAAAATAAACAAAACCTGATATTCTCTCATCATCACATAACTTGAGACGCGAGGGCTTTAAGAAATGTCACGAGACTCATGATTAAATCATTAGTTGGCAACACCAGAAACTGACTGAAAAGCACTGGAAAATTAGCAGTTAATTAAATAAACAATACCACGGTAGCCCAATTTTTTTAGACGGTTCTGATAGTAAGCATTCTGGTAAATCCCCACTCACTTTGAACATATAAGAATTCTCGAGGTGATAAAATTGTATATTACTACCCAATTACAATGGGTCCCTGAGTTACTCATCATGACTGCTTTATGGATTTAGTTTCACAACATAATAATGAGTTCACCCGGCTTCCTGAAATATCTGTAGAGATTATACACACACTTACTTTTTTCACAAATTGTGACAATGTTAAATAAATAAGACAACATGGCCACTGCTTAAAAAATAAAACCACTTTTGAATTACATCCGATGAAGTGAGCTGTAGCTCACGAAAGCTTATGCTCTAGTAAATTTGTTAGTCTCTAAGGTGCCACAAGTACTCCTTTTCTTTTTACGGATACAGACTAACATGGCTGCTACTCTGAAAACTAAAAATTGACTTTCTGTAAACATTTCTGAGAATCCTGTAGTGTTTAGCAAATGAACAGTCCCACTGATTCAGCAGTGATGACTCAGATGGGCAAGGTAAGGCCAAAATGTTTTTGAGAAACATATTTATCGTTTTACAGTCCACAGATACATGTGAGAAAGGTATGTGTTATCTGTGTTAATATATTATAAATTATATGCATAAAGACTAATACTTTACAAGCAAATGATTATTCTTTGTATTCTTGTGACACCTAAGAGACCTAGTCATGGATTTGGGCCCTATTGTGCTAGGTGCTGTACAAACAGAACAAAAAGATTTTCTCTGCCCCGCTTCATACTTATTTTAAATATACACATTAAATGCTTTGGATGTATAAACAGAATTACATTTCTTTATATTTTGATTATATTGCTATTAAAAACCCTCCTCATTTCCCAAATTCCTTCCTTAGTTGTCTCACATATAACTCTTATTACAACATTAATAGAACTAACTTTGCCTGTTTTGATTTCTCCTGAAATTTTAGCTTTCCACTATTTTTGAAAAACAGTAGTTTATATATTACTGCTGTTTTCTGTTACTCAACAAAGCATGAAACCAAATGGCAGCATCACTCAGAAAGAATAGAAAATAAATAAATAACTTAGAAAAACAAAAACAAGTGCATTAAGGGGAAAGAGAAGAGCAGCAGTGAAGAAGCAATGAAATCCTCCCTGCCTCCTAAGTAGATGTCTCTACTAATTCTAAAAATAATATGGCAAAGAGCTAGCAGTTTGTTGTGGAAGGAGGATGGTTGCTCCTGGGAGGTTATAATTTGCTTTGGGAATAAGGATGTATGAATTTGTCCTTTCTTCCTCCTGCCTTGGAGCATTACCCCTTGAATTGGGATGAAAATGCTGGTGTTTCTCCTTGTCTTCTTTTTCCCTGATGCATCAGCTTCCTGTGCAGAGCCCTTTGCACTGGGGGTGATTATTCTTGTGTTTCTCCTGCTGCCCTGTTGCATCAACTTCCTGTGCAAAGCCCCATGCATTGGGGTGATGATTCTTGTTTTTTCCTGTTGCCCTGTATCGATTTCCTATGCAAAATCCTTTACAGTAGGGTGAAGATGGTTGTGTGGTTGCTGCTGCCTTAGTGCATCAACTGCCTGTGTAAAGCCCCTTGCATTGGGGTGAGTATTTATGTTTCTCCTCCTGCCATGGTGCATCAACTTCCTGTGTAGAATCCCTTGCATTGGGGGTGAGGATGCTTGTGCTTCTGCTAGTGCCCTGGTGCATCAGCTTCCTGTGCAGAATCCTTTGCATTGGGTGAGGATGCTTATGTTTCTCCCCTTGTCTTGGTGCATCGGCTTTCCTACGCAGAACCCCTTGCGCATTGGGGTGAGGATGCTTGTGCTGCTCTCCTGCTGCTGCCTGCCCCGGTGCATGCTCCCTCCCTCCCCCGCTGCTGCTCCACTAGAGTTTGGTGCCCTACTTCACTCTACTTTAGTTTCACTCACTTTACATCCGGGTTTTTTCCCTAGGCAATGGGAGCCGTCGCACAGCCCGTTCCTTAGGCAAAGGGAAATAAATTCGCCGCACCAACACGTCAAGTAGTCCCCTCAGGAGGAGCCAGCGAACCCTCCCTCCCCGCCCGGCGGAGGCTGGCGACCTCTCCTTTCGCACTTCCCGGGAGGCGGCATGGGGTCCAGGGAGGTGGGAACTCGCCTCGCCCCCAATCTCTGTGTCCTCCCCCGTCTCCTCCTCCTCCTCCCCTTCCCCGCTTCAGAGCCGGAGTAGCTGTGAGAGAGCGTGTCGGGCGCGCGCAGCGGAGCTCGGGCGCGCGCCCCAGGCAGGCAGGGAGGCCGGCGGCGGAGTGATCCCGGCGAGCGGGTGCTGCGGCCGGGCCGGGTGAATGGGATTGAAGAAGAGTTCAGCTTCTCGGCTTGTTTTTGTGTCACAGTTTCTCTTCTCCTGCGCCTCTTCTGCTTCGTTCCTTTCTTCCCGTCCGCCCCCTGCTCCCCCCGGCAGGCGGAGCCCCCTGGGGAGAGGGGGAAGGAAAAGGACCTCCCAGAGGAGAGAGAGAAGAGGAGGAGGAGAAGGGAGCAACCTACCATCTTCCACTCCCAGCTTAGATTAAAGAAAGTGAGAGGAGAGAGAGGAGCCCAGAAGAGGGGGACAGGGAGGCCCAGAGGAGCCGCAGCACCTTCCCCCTATGAAGAAGAGCCCTCCCCCTCAGAGAGAGGTCCTGCCAGGGGGACCCCAGCCAGCCACCAGCAGCAGCACCACCAGCAGGGTGTAGTATCCCACCTTTTGGATTCTCCTCCTCCCTATTCTCTCCTTCTGCTCTCTTCTATGAGTAGCTCTATCCCTCGCCTCCCCCGTGCTTTTCTGTCTGTGTCTCAGGGAGTTGGTTGGGGGAGGGTGGAGGAGGATAGCTGGGGTGGGGGGGGGAGGAGCAGTCTACATAGGACGCTTCAGCCAACTTGGAGCTAAGGAGCAACAACTTCAGTGTAACCCCCCCATCCCAGGCCTCCGACCCCCAAGGGGATAGAGCCCTAGGGGGTCATGTCCTTTCTCCCGCCCCTGCATGCACTGAAATAAGTTTCTGAGGAGGGGGAGCGAGAGATGGAGGTGGGCGACACATTGGGGTTGTGGTGAGGAGCAGGGGGAAGGAGATGACACATTGCACTGGGGATGGGGTGGGGGAGGGAGGTTTATCCCCTCCTCTCTGGTTTTCTTCAGAATGATTATTTCCAGGCCCTTTGCTGTTGGTTTGATTTGTTCCCTGTGATGCTGAGAGGGAAGTTTTATTATTATCTTTGAAACGATGCTGCTTTGATTATTGAGAATTTGTAGTAAAGCTGCTATTGCAGGGTTGTGTTTTTTTTTTTTTTTTTTTTTTGCTTTAATTTGCCTTTGTGGCCAGAGCACTGGGAAAATTCCGTTTCTGCAAGTTGTAATTCAGAAGCATCTCCTGCCCCCCTCGTTCTGGGTCTGCCCTTCTTGCACAGGTACAAAGCTCAGTGGAAGGACACCTCTGGGATTTCACACTCCTACTTTGGCACATATTTGCGATGATTAGAGACATGTACCTTTTCTCTTCCATTCCTCTCTCTCTCTCTCTGTGTGTGTAGGAGGAGGGGGCTGTGTGTGGGACTCTGCCATTTGGTCTAGTCCCGTTGTGCTCGCTCCTCTCACCGCTTCTTTTTCTGTTTGCTTCTTTATTATTCTGAGCGTCACTGTTGATAGGATTTTTTTTTTTCTCTGACCACATTTGCAGCATGGTGGGTGCTTGCAGGACTGCACTGTTAGATTTTTAGATGAATTTATATTGGATCCACACATGGAGTCCTTTCTTCAACTTCTACTCACTTGAGTGTCACAAAATGAATATGCACTGGTTAGGGTACAAATGTGCTTGAACAGAGTAATTTCCAAGTTCCTAATTCTTTTAATGGGGCATGATTGCTAGTGCAGTGGTGGCTTTTGTTTTCCTTGGTTTGTAAATGTCATCACAGTTCAGTCACATGCTAGAATATTCTTTGTTTAGATATCAAAGTAGAGTATTCAGTATGTCCCCACTTTTTTATTTGAAGTGATGGTGCTCCCCTGCAAGTTTTATCTGTTTATAATTGTAGATGAGAGGTTCTTTTACTTGATGCTTGTTTAGGCCCAAGCACTGAACTTGACATGAACTTTTGTTCCTTTTTTTTATCACAGTAGTGACTGGGTTTTAAAAAAAATCCTATTGGGGACAGTAATTGTCATGTTGTGTACAGTAGGTCTGAGTGAAGGAAAAATCTGATATGGGCAACTTGTGCCCTGCAATCTTAACATTTTAATAGAGAGTGACATAGCTACATTTGCACACTGGTTAGTTGGATGAGTGTGAGAATTTTCTCAGCCTAAGTTCATTCTTTATTAGAATGAATTTATCATCACATTAAACATGTATTACCTTGGTTTCAGAAGGAAAACTAAAGGGCAGTTACCCCATATGCTTATATTAATGGGGCACTTTTATTAATAAATCTTAGAATTTTAAGTGTCTAATGTGCTATCTGCTATTTAAAATGTAGGTTTGCTTTTTGCCTTTCACTCAACTTTGACAATGAAAACTATTGGTTAGTTTCACTTTTGATTGTAGGAAGTTTCATATTTGAGATTTCTTCATTCTCTAACCCAAAGCTGGTGCTGTTTGCATTTTCTGTATTTTAGGGGAATGTTTAAGTATCAAAATAAACTTAGTTGTCATAAAAATTAATTGAAGAAATATGGTAATAGGTTTTATAGAAGCTTAATAAAAGCTTTAATTGTTTTTAAGTTTTGTGCCTTAACCTACTTGCCAGTGTTCCTGTAAAGATATAATACAAAACACAAACCGCCCCTTCCCCCATCCAACCTATAAACTTTTGAAAGGTCTGTTTTAGGTAAAACGTGAAAAGTCCTGAGAGTTGGTAACTATGTCCAACATTAATATACTACTGTGTATTTATTTGATTAGTATTTAAGAGCAAGGTCTCCAACCAACCAACCAAAAACTTCACCCACAGCACAACTAGTGTTTTTATAAATCCATACTAGTTAAAGTAGTTATTCACCCACATTTTAGTAGAAACATCACTTTTAAAAAAAAAAAAAAAAACTGGGAAACTCTTTGATTGCTGAATGAAATTACTAGTTTTCCTGAAGTAAAGAATTTTGTAGTTTAGTAAATATTGTGATAGTTCTCAATTTATTTTCCCTTAAAATTGTTTTTAACTTTAAACTTTGTCTTATTGAGATTGAAAAAATTAGATTCTTGTGTGTGTGTGTGTGTGTGTGTGTGGGCTTATATCTTTTAGGAGTTTGAGCAACTGATAGCAGGGATGTTAAGCAATCCTCTTACATGTTTGGAAAGTTAAAGGTGTCCTCTCCTTTTGTCACCTTTGAGGTTCTCTTTTTGTAGAAGCAAATCTTTGTAAGGTATTGTCCAGCAGGAGGTGCTTGTGCTGCAAATGCCCACCAGCAGCTGGAAATTTACATCATATCTGGAACATACTCTAGCTCTACTGATCTGGGCAATGAAGGATCTGATTTTACTCCCAAATTTGGATTATTGAGTTTCAATTAAGAAGTAGCAAACCTGGTGTACTGATACATAATTAAAGGGAGCTTCTCAAGGTATTTTTCATAATTCAAAAAGTATTTTTACTATTGTCTATGAATAATTACCCATTGGAAGGTTAATATTTGAAGTCTTTTCTTCTGGTTTTGTCTTCTTTCCCTTTTGCATGTAGGGTTATTTTATGCATCCTGGGCTGGGCTACTCTTGCCAGTTTGTTTTTATAAGGGTGCAGAAGTCTGCTGGGTTGCTGGTATTGACTTTCTTTCCTTTTGGAAGTGAAAACATAAAAGCATTTTATTTTAAAAATTTTTGGAGAGGAGTTGTAGGAAGTCATGGATTTTACAGTTGTGGGGTGGTTTTTTTTTTAATATTTGTATGTTCAGTTTTGGATATCCAACTTTGACAGTAAGTCAAAGTTTTAATGTAGGATTTTTAAAGTGTATCCCCTGCCCCTTAGTGTTGAACTTGCATTTCTATTCATAGTACAGGGCCTGGGTGTTTCTTATCTCTATATATTCCTATTTTGGGGGTGATATACTGAGAAGTTTTGAAAATAGAAATTGTAAACTTTTTTTTGCAAAGTATTGAACTGATTGGATATGCACAAAACAGATCAGTTTCTTGTTTTAAACATATAAACTTTGTTTTAATTGGGCCCTTGGTGGTTTTGTTGTTCTGTATACTGTAGGAAAGTTCTAATAGCGAAGATATGTCATCATTGTAATTGTTCATGCAGTTTGTTTTATAGGGAAGTAACTGTCCTTAAATATGAAAATATTGGAGCTATTTAACTGTTCCAGAGTGTTTGGTGTGCTTTGTTTTCTGGATAACTTTACTTGAATGAAATGAATTAATATAACTGGAATTTGTTTACTATTGATATTTCTGGTTAAATATTACATAAATCTTAACATTTACAGGGACTCTGTGGGGTATCTTATTTAGTATGTTTTGGGCACTGCATATTAGATAAACTGCCCTGGTGCCCTGTTGTTCTGTGTATCTTCATGCACATGTCTATAATTAGATATCTTTTTAAACTCTCTACAACTTGGTATGGCCACAGACTATGGACGAAAGCTTCTTTACAGAATTTAAGAGATGGACGCCATCTTTAACTATTTCCACCATGACTTAAGTGTCAAGGCAAACAGGGTATAATGCTGTAAGGAGATATAATTTTTTAAGATGTCTGAACCCATAGAGTCAAACAGCCGTGGATAGAAAGAGGCTAACCTTGTTTTTAAATTTTTCTGTGCCAGGCACGAGGGTACTGTGGGTTTTACCATGCAAACCTTTACTTGTACAAATAGTTCTACTGACATGGGGCATATCTAGTCTCTTCTGTAGGTGTGGAGTCACCGTAGAAGAGGGAGCTGGTGCAGTTCCACTGTGCAGAGGGGCATTCCCTGAGCCTGACCATGCAGGAGGAGAGGCCCTGATGTAGGCGGGAAAATGCAAGAAGATCCATCATTATATGCATCTTGTCTTCCCCTACCCCCACATGGGGCAGTGTAAGAATCTACTGAGGCTAGTTCTACCACTCTTAAGGTCTGGAAGGAAGATTCCTGCCCCTGTGCATGTTCTGATTGTCCCACCAAGTTACTTGTGCCAGAAACTAGGCTCAGGGTTTGTGCTAATGCGTTCTACTTATACAAAAGTTTGTAGGCTCAAACCATAATTTGAGAAGGTGGAACAAGTGTGGTTGAGGTTCTTGTGTGTATTGACTACAACAGGCAAGATGCTTGTGTCCTGTCTTGTTAATACTTGTTACTGGAGGGTGGACTGGAAGATAGTTTTTGTACATGTCTTACATGTAAAAGGTGGTGAAAAGATTAATATGTCAAGTTTGGTCTGGTGTAGAGGAGGTATTTGGCTCGTGTCAATTATGAAGGTACAGATTGTGCCTGTAGAAAGTAGGCCTAATTTTGGATGGAGGATATTAGGAGTACTTTTACATTTCTTTCTTTTCCCCAATCTTTTTATTTTTGTCATGTTATAAGGACACCACCAATTTAAAAGTCTCTTCTGTGTGATTCTTTTTACCTATCATTGTTACTTGTAATAGATTATTATAACTATTTTATTCTTTGGTTTTCTCTTTGTACATTTGACAACACTTTGTATATTTGGTTTCACCTTTTGTCTGTGTGAATTTTTGACACGGCAACAATGGAAAGAAAAAT